GTACAAAACTAGCAGCTAGGTACAAAAATGTAATTAATCGTTAATAATGGAGGCCGCCCGGGAAACTGCCAGGGACCAACTCTGTTCGCTCTTCATCTTCTTTCGCATTTTCTCATTTTCGCATTTTTCTCGTCATCTCGCTTTTTTTCGTTCATCAATAAATTCATTTTTCTGTCGGCCTATACATTAATCAAGATTACTTGGACGATCGGGTTCTTTTTTTCCTTTCGGTCCAACAATTGTTTGCTTCTTCATACGCACGATCACTCACTCCTCTCTTGAGCGACTTTCACGTATTTAGAATGTTGTAGAATTACTGAGAAATTTAATACTGCTCGATTTTGGCGAATTCGCGAGTGCGGAGTGGCGCGAGATGTGTTTTTTATTTATTTTTTTATTTTTTATCGCGTACAACTTAATAGCTGAAAGACAGTTAAGTACAAAGAAGAATAAGTTATGATAATTATAATTTAATTATATTAATAATTGTAAAAATATTTAAATTATACACTAAATATATACTAAAATTATAACATGATATCATTGTAATGGCCTCGCGCCAAACAGAAATCGTTGTACAAAATATTTTCATAAAATACATCTGTGTGCTTTATCGTAAACAAATTTATATATATAATTTGCGAATTATCCTGTTTAAAGTAATCATGTGTGTGTCTTGCTTAATAAATATTTATTTACAAAAATCTTATAATTGGAGTTCAGTATTGAAGCTCTGATGTCGCTATCTTTTACGTCCGAAGTAAACCACATACTTCATCTCACTTGATATAAATCACCAATGAGAGAATCTTTTATAATATCTTAACATACACACAATATCTTTACCCTCGAAACACTGAGCAAAAAATTTAGTCGGTATTTGACAATCATTAAGACATGTTTTAGACAGATCTAAAAGACGAGAATTTCTGCAATCTAGTGAAAATCTCGTAAAAATTCGCTGCAATTCTAGAGTTAATGATACATAAACGAATAAAAGACTAAAAGAGAGAGGTAAGCATGCACTTCATCTGGGGAAGGAGGGCTTCTTCGATGTTATATTTAAATATCTCGAACCACTGCGCAGTGGCGATGTTAAATTACAGGAATAAAGCTTACGGTATTCGGATCTGGATGAAAAAACCGGATCACAAGCGATTCTATATAAAGATTTTGTATAAAGAGATATTTGCAATAAAATGTTAATGTGTCGTAGCTGAGCCCGGCTAAAAATTGTCGAAGTTCAAAAATATGTAATCTTTTTACAGAAATATTTTTGGGACCGGAAGAATATATGCGATAATAATACAAATTTTACTTACTTTTAATTGTTTTTATTTGCATTATTTTCAGCGCAATAAATAATGCCGTTGTGTAATATTGCATTTTCATTGTGCTATTGAATTAGTTCATTATCTGTGATTATCATCATTACTTATATACTGACAATAATCCATTTAACAATATCCGGTAATGTGCAAAAACATACGATATTTTGTTATATTTGATGAGATCTGTGAGAATTGCAATCGAACTTGCGTTATTTTTTAACCGGGTTTTTAGCCGACTTATATAGCTAACGTACGGAATTAGAAGATAGTCGATAGTTTTATTTGATTCCGTTGTACAGTTAAGACATCATAAATTACCACGTATAGAAAGAGAGAAACAGAGAGAGAGAGAGAGAGAGAGAGAGAGAAAGAGAGAGAGAGAAAGAGAGTTTATGTCTTCTACGTCTTTTTATTATATTAAATAACCGAATAAGACACCATAATACCACGTATAGAGAAATAGTATCTTTTATATCTTCTCATTATATTAAATAATTGTTTCAACAAAATCATCAGAGAAATCTATGATTTGTAAGCGACAAATATATTTAAAAGGTATCTCTTATAATGTCAAGCAAAACTTATGCTTGTAAGTTGAAATGCAAGAAACATTTAAATCCTTCTTCCTAAAATTTCATTAATTTTAATATATTCTTCCCCCTTCCCTTTAGTTTATTTAAAATTTCACAAATTATTTCTACTAAAGATATTAAATAGTAAAATTAATCGTTTTATATATTTTTATTTTTTAGCGCTTAAATATTTTATATATTATATTTAAAATAATGAGTAGATGTTTCGGACTACTTTTCTTCGTTCAGGAAAGCATCTTTCTATTTTTTTCCAATATTTTAAATGCCACGAATTAGACGACGATTAAGTATTCTTATCTTTTGTCAATTCTTTTTAGAGAAAAGTGTTATATTTGAATGAAACATGTTAAAGTTTAGAGTAAAAAATAGAGGCTAAGATTTTCTAGACACCGACTCGCATATTAATTCTCATTTACAGAATTAATGTTTGTCAAAAACATCAAGGCGCGCCCACATATCTACGCGAGCACTATTCCAGGAGTACAGCGAAGAAATATTGGCGAATTACATTGCTCTCTTCTCATTTCAACGATATTACGTGAAAGTTCAGCTATGCCTAATTCTAGAATTTTATGCTATTCGTAATAGGCGCCACAAATCTACTCACGTTCGGTAATTCTTCTTGTGTTGGAATCTTTGATTTCTCGCAAAACATAAATGAATATTTTACTTAAAAAAAATTTTAGACATTTTTATATACATATATATATTAAATATATAAACACCTTTTTTATTTAGTAACAATTCTTTGATGTCAATTTGTGTTACATATGTTCTTTATTATACAAGTACTTCGTTTTTGTTTATCATCTTTGGATTTGTCAGCAATGTACACAAATAAATATTACAAATCCAAAAAAATGTTTATATATATTTTTATAATCTTTGAATTTCAATTGAGCAAACTGCAATCAATAAAAATATTAAAAATTTTGAAGCGAGAAACTTAAAATAAAAAGAAATATATATGTATAAAATAAGATATTAAATCAATAAAAATCTGCATCTTGTACTCGCATCGCTAATTGCGCGTAAATTTAAGCAGTCGTAAAGTACATTTTTCTTCACATATGAGATTACTTTGCAAAACCGCATTTTTCTATATCTCTAACATATATGCTTCTCTCATCTGCCATCTCCTAAAGTATTCGATTCCACATAATTCCAGCTTCAGATGTAGATTGTACGTAGACTGTTCAAATATTCAAATATTACATTCGAAATTGCGCCTTGAGTCGTTATAGTTCATATAGACGTGCGAAAATTGGACGCAATAGTTTACGCTTTCATGCCAAAAAGTTGCCACTAGCCGACTATAGCATTTTGTATAAGATTAATAATAAAGCTTATATCGGGCGATGCCCGTAAAATTTACGTGATCGGAAATAAGAATTAGATTATACAATGATATTTTGATTTCCGTGGGGAGGGTATTTCATAAACCCAGTAAGTGTTCAAAAAACTAATGAGAGCCCAGCTTGATCCTGAAGAGAAGCACTTCCTCTTTTTCGTCGCGGGGCCCGCTATATGAATAATTAGGCGATCGAAATCTCGCTTATATACTACGAAAATGAATCTCGATAAGCGGAAAGTTTTATTTGAGATTCACATTCATAGAAGTCATAAAATTATCCTAGAATCTTGCGCGCAATTTTTTTATCAACTTTCTATTTGCATAAATTGGCAGGCTCGCAAATTGCCAGATTAACTCTCATTTACTGCGGGCGTGCTGTTAATATCTGTAATTTTAAGTAGTCATGCAAACTATATATCTCATTTTGATAATTATACTATAGTTTATATAACTATATAATTATTATAGTACCACAGTGTTTTATAATAGTAAGAAAAGGGATATAAGCGAGTAATAATCGGCATTCATTACATAAACGCGCTTTGATTTCGTAGATTTTTCCGCAGCTTCTCGACGAGAAAGAGAAAGAGCGGGAAAGCCGGCGGCTAGGAAGCGCATTAGAGAAGCGTAAAATTCGCACGCTCGGCACTCAAATCACCCTTTATCGAGGGCTTTTTCTACGGGCACGACGACACTTCGACGACGTAAAACTCGTCGCCGACGACGCGTCACATTTATAGAGGCATCTCCGTTAATTGACTAAATTTCTCTCTCCGCATAATATATTCCGGCGTTGTTTAACGAGTAATTTTACGATCAGATCTCTGCGGCCTGCTGGTACGACAGTCAGTAACTCTCGTTTTATAATAATTCGCTACGACATTTATTGAGCGTGATCTTACGTCGACGTGGACTAGGTGATAATTAGTTTCAAATACCATAGAGTGACTCGTCGTTCACATTTTTTTTTCTTTGTACGGCGCAGAAAGTCATCCTAGTTGACAGGACTCTAATTAACAAACTCTAGCGTGTTTGAGCGAAGCGAGATTATTTTAGAGATGGACGCGCGTCGGCGGAGTCGCCGAATTCCGCCGGCAACGTATTGTATTATTTCGCAAAACTCGAAGCACCACTCGCACATTGTTTCGCGTCATCCTTTTATATAAATGGGCCGTCATCATGTATTGATCTGTTTCTATTATGAAAATTAGATAAGCTAAATATATTGATTGTATAATTTTGATTATTTTTACAATTCAATCTAAGTGTTACTTGAGCTGTCTATATTATCAGAGATACGTATATAATATAGACCTATAAATAATAATTTTATCAGAGAATCTTTTTAACTACTTTAATAATATTTTTTATATAATATTGCAATAAGCTTGATAATATACAAATTATTTATTTAAATTATAGAATTTTCCAAATTTTCTCTTTGTAATCTTTTAAAACTTATTTTTTGTAATTTAGATCATTTCAAAGTTTATTAAATCTTTTAGTTATAGTTTTGCATTTTTAATAAATTTATCTTTATACAGCTATATGAATATACAAATAAAATGCAGATAATACAACAATACAAATTTTTTGTTTGGGAAAAATATCAAATTCTCACATTTAAGATACAGAATTTAGACATAGAATTTTCATATTTTTTCGTCTACTTAAAGATTTAAAATTTTTTTTTTCTTTTAATACCGCTTTTTCATATATTTCGGAATTTTTTTCTATTTTCTACATAATACTTATTTTGATGATTTATCACTTTTTGTTTCCTTTAAATTATCTCAACTAAGTTAGGAGTTAATATCGCGATATTCATAAGCTATGATCGTTACCGATTCATATGTTGGAGCTTGAAGTTTTAAGAGAACATCTTGCGAGTGGTGCCAAGATGCGAGGACGATCCTTGAATAGAGATAAAAGCGACGCTCTAAGAACGCGCTGCGAGTAGAACAGAACGCAATATAAGGCTCTGCTGCACGTAGACATAGTAATTGTGGCGTTAGTCGTCGTCGTCGAGGCCAAGAAGTTCCGGTGGAAGTCGCCTATGCCGGCAGCATATAGTGAGACAGAGTACTCGCGCGGCCAACCGGAACTGGGGACTCATTGTACCAAGGACGATCGCTTTCCAAAAGCTGTTCGTAACCCCCAGCCACACCACGGCAAAGTGTAAAAACGGCACCTACGATATTAAATTAATATAAATTAATAAATTTTAATCCTCGCTCATCAATTGCGATCAGGATTCATTTATTTTTCTTATGTAAGTAATCCCGAATTTAAGATTCTATTATTTTATCCTTTACACTCCAATATAATCAAAGGTCAATTGTAATTTGAAATAGATATAATAAAATTTTTACTAAATGCACATGATAAGTAGAACTAAATTCTTCGCAATAACGCGAGAATTGTAAGAGAATGATACTTACTATTACAAATTTAAACGAGAGTTAAAGCTTCTTATGCTTTAAATAATTATTATAAAATGACATTACTGCATAAGTACTAGAGAATATATTCTCTTATATTCTCTAATTCCTTTTAACAGTCGCATAGAGTATATCCTTCTATGTGAACTTCTTATGCTTATGTACTAGCGAGCGTATTCTTTATTAACCTACTCCGCTTTACAAACTTGTCGACCTACATTTTTAATTGTCTCATTTCCAATGCCTCTTTTCACGAAGTTTAAAATTACTTTTAAATCATGTCAATGTCAAGCAAATGTCATTATAGTCGTTCTAATACGAGGTTCTTTCTGATATAAAAAGTCATTTCTATAACAGCTGTAAAACGAAAATATAACATCTAAATAGAAATAAAAAAAATTTTACGAACTTTATTGCAATTTCTTGCATTAATTCTTTTAAAAATGATTACTAAATAATAATTCTGTAGATCAGTTAATTCTGTAGATAATTATCAGAAGATTAATTCAAGTTATAAGTTATTTTTTCGGTAATTGTGTCTATTATTATTAAATTTTAGTTATTTAATTAAGTATGCGCTTATCGCTCTATAAAAGAGACAGTAAACTTGCTTATATATATATATAGAAACGTAATCTTATTTAATTAAATTAGTCACTGTATTTATAGCCTAAATAAAAAATGTACAATCTTAAAATATTAACACTATATAGAGATTCACTATTATTTTTTTATTGGATTTATTCATAGAAAAATATCAAATTAAGATCAAGATTTACCCCTTTATTTTAATAGCAACACTTGCCTTTTTAATATCAATTAAACGAATCGTGACAGGATTACATTACCTGAGACGGTCCGTTAACGACCGCGTATATCCTTAGCCCGGCGTACGGTGCCCATGATAGGCAGAAAAGCATCACTAAGACGAAGGACATAATGTGACTCGGGTTGCTCAGATTTTCCGATAGTGCAGTAGCATACTCTTTGTCGTGTATCAACACGCCGGACTTTAGTCGCCTCATCATGGAGAAAATATAGAAGTACGTATAGACGATGGTGATGACCGATGGCCCCAACACGAGGATTGACAGCGTGATGGCGTATGCGGCCATGTTGCCCCAATCGAGCATGCAGATGAAGGCCTCGCGATCGAAGATCGGCTTGTTGAAGCCGAGCAAGGGCGGGCAGCACATCATCGCCACGCTGATCCACGTGAAAACCATCCAGCATTGACATCGGGTTTTCGTCTGTACGGTCTCGTATCTCAATGGTTTCCTGCAAAAGTCGTGAAAAAGCCGATATTACTGATATTATTAAAATCGTTGCTGAAGTTCGAAGATGTTATGGAATATAATTTGAAAATTTCTACAATAATAGCAAAAGATGTGTCTTGACTTATATCAATTAATTTTTATTTTATATATATACATTTATTATTAGTTATTATATTTATATTATAAACGTGTGGTATCAATTTTTTATAATATAATTGTAATTTACCTGACAGCCAGATAGCGATCTACGGAGATCCACATAAAGGTGTATACCGATACCGCCCAAAGTGTGACTTCCAAATAACCGACGAGTCGGCACACGATATCTCCGTAAACCCATCTTCGTACCAGCGCTGGATACACTGAGAGCGGAACCACCAACAGACCACATAGAAGATCTGCCGAGGCGAGTGATAGCAAGTAGTAGTTTATCACCTCGGAGGGACCTGCAAATAAAATATTATTAATGTCGTAATATATATTTGCCCATTATTAATTCTAGCAATAATACAATTATAATGATTATATAGATTACTACATTTATTGGCATCAATCACATATACATATATTAATATTTATTCATAATCCTTGCCTTATGGCTTCGAATTGTTTCCGGTTTACATCTTTGCATTTTGACATTTTTACACTTTTACACATTATATTTTTTTTACAATACTTCTTTCCAATCTCTTACTTTTTTACATTCTTATAATAAATCCAATTAAATTAAAATTAAATTAAAATAAAACATTACAATATTATCGTATTAGAGCATTATACATTAAAATATTATCTATTTTTATTTTTATTTATTTATATTGGTATATATTATTAATATCATGAATAATCGATCAACAATTCAAACATTTTAAAATTTTTAAATCTGATTTAAAG